ATCTAATTTTGATCAGCATCATTATTTTCTCATAAACTCTATCAAGTCATCTTCAAAATCTAAAAATGGTGAGTGTCCAGGAGACAACCAAGGATTTATTGTGTATCTCAAATGATAATGTGAACTCTCCTTCATGCAATCAATCCTTAGATCAACCCTCAGCATCATCAGTTACAAAATTGACTAAAAATCAAAAGGCCAAAATAGCGAAAAGAAAGAGATTAGAGAAAATGAGAGAAAGAGATGAGTCAAGTGAATATAAGATGAAATATCTTGAGAAAAAGGTCATAGTTAGTCAGAGGAGAAGTAATAAAGCTGAGGCTAAGGTTGATCATTTTTTGCATCAAGGAGCAGTAAACCCAGATAAATATGACGAATATGTAAATAAAGCTAAACATTATGAAAATGTCTTTAATAGAGCCACGCATGATCTTAAAATGAATTTACAAAGATCAAAAGATTGTTATTATCAAAATAAAGAATCAAAATAAAATAAATCTATTTAAACATTATTTCTTTTTATCTTTTTATTTCAGTCATTAACCTGTGTTTGCTGCTTGAGGTCCTATCCTGCGCTTGTGAATTTCGTTGTTCACCCATGTGACTGTCTCTTCAATCCGTGTAGACAATTAGAAAGTTTCAACTCAGAGGAAAACATACAGCCCGCGTCACCAGAAAGAACATTATCTTGTAATTCATCATGCACATCTGCAGATTGCAGTTTGTGTAATGAATCGTCCTTATCATCATCTCCTCACTCAAATATTCCTCAATCAACACAAAATCAAGATCATTCTATTGAGTCTAATGACATTCAGATGGAGCCTCTTGATCTTTCGCGTAAAGCAAATTATCAACAACAACAACATCAACAACCAGATGCTCCAGCTGTTAACGTTTTGCTAGCTCAAGAAGAGATGGAACCACTTGATCTTTCAACAAGTGCAACACAAAATCAGGAAAATGCATCTGTTGCTGTCGTTGATGAGAGTGAAACACGTGATTTAGTTGTTAATCGTAAGAGATCAAGAAGTCCATCTATTGACTATGAACAATACAAGTGTCCAATGTGTGATTATGTCTTCAAATCTAAATTCGATAAGATGAATCACCGCAGAGAATGCAGACCACCAGTTAAATCCGGATTCCAACTTATAGCTTCAGGACTGTGTGAGACATTGAGTGTTTTTCATTGTACTCTTGAAAATGTTAAAACTTTATTAATGCTGCAACAATTCTTGCAAGCTGATTTGAAAGATATGCTTTCAAGTCAATCACGATCTAAATTTTTAATCAAGTTTCAACTATGTTTACATATCATCTTCAACAAACCTGATCAAAGAGCAAAATCATATTTTTGGACTAAATTCCAGCCCATTCTGCAGGCAGATAACCTGGATGATCTTATCGCCAGTGCAATCTTATCACTGGAGCCATTGGTTGATCAATTTACTGAGCGAGGAAGCGGATGGACTATTGAATCGATTGCTTGTGTTGAATTGAGAATAGCTAAATATAGACCACACACTGGTTCTTGTTTCAACAATCCCCTGCCTCCTGAATTGGCCAAAAAGACGAAATCATTACGCACAATTGAATGCAACAATGAATGTTTCATTTACAGTGTATTGGGTGGCTTACACAAAGATATTGATCATCCGAAACGCCCTTCCAGATATAATCGGTTTATGAACGATTATGATTTCAGTATGGTGAGAGGATCAGTTCCATTAGAAAAGATACCTGCATTTGAACGTAAAAATCTAATCAGTATCAATGTTTACACCTATGAAGTCGATGAGAAGTTGATCATTCCAATTTACATCACGAAGAACGAGCAACCTTCACATGTAAATTTATTTCTTTTTGATGATCATTATCATATCATTGTGAATTTCCATGCATTCATGAGAGGAAGACAACATGCAACCTACTGCTGTCACAGATGTCTGTATAATTTCCGAGAAAAAGATAAACTTACAACACATCTTTCATACTGTAAAAAGCACAAGCCTCAGCGGATATCAATGCCACCTCAATATGGTCCATTTTCAGTGGTTAAAAGGAAGAATTACAGAAAAGAACCGAAACATCCATTCATTATCTATGCTGACTTTGAAACGCTATCAAAACCAGGTAATTTGGATATTGGTGAACTTAAACAGAACGAGCCATGTAGTTTTGGCTTGATAGCTGTTGATTGGAATAAAAAAGTTATAGCAAAAAGATTTTACAGAGGTGAGGATGTTGGTTATCTTTTTCTAAAAGAAATCATAGCCCTGAAAGGTTATTTAAAAGCGTATTTGGATCAACATCAAAAACCACTCAATCTCACTGATGATGAAGAGTTACAATTCATGCAATCTAAAATTTGTCACATCTGTAATGAACGTTTAAATAGACAAAATGACGGGCCTCCGGTTCGTGATCATGATCATCTAACTGGTGAATTCAGAGGCGCGGCTCACCAGGACTGTAATCTGGATTATCAAGTGCCTCAAACGATTCCAGTAGTTTTTCACAACTTGAAAAACTTTGATGGACATATTATTGTTCAAGCGATAAAGAAAAATATGTTCAAGAACAAACCACAAATTATTGCCCAAACTCTCGAGAGATATATTGGTTTCAAGATTGATTGCTTCAATTTTATTGATAGCTTAGCCTTTCTACCATCAAGCCTTGATAACTTATCTTCAATTCTTTCGGATGAAGTGAAAAAAGAGCTTTTAGAGCAAGAATTTATCAATCAAGATATTACTTTGTTAATGAAGAAAGGTGCAATGCCTTATGAGTACTTGGACTCTCATCAACGCTTTGAAGAGACACAACTACCACCTATTAAAGCATTTGATTCATCTCTAACAAATTCATCAATTGACATCGCAACATATGAAAGAGTCAAAGCAATTTGGAATCAATTCAAATGCAAAAATCTTGGAGATTTCCATGATATTTATCTACGTGTTGATGTATACCTGTTGGCTGCTGTTTTTGAAGATTTCAGATCAAACAGTTTAAATTTCTTTAACATTGATCCGCCTCATTATTATTCTGCTCCTGGTCTAACATGGGCTGCTTCATTGAAACACAACAAATGCAAAGCTTCAGCTC